GTGATGGGTCCAGGCCAGTGATGGATCCAGACCAGTGATGGGTCCAGGCCAGTGATGGATCCAGACCAGTGATGGGTCCAGGCCAGTGATGGATCCAGACTACTGATGGATCCAGACCAGTGATGGATCCAGACTACTGATGGATCCAGACCAGTGATGGATCCAGACTACTGATGGATCCAGACCAGTGATGGGTCCAGACCAGTGATGGATCCAGACCAGTGATGGGTCCAGACCAGTGATGGATCCAGGCCAGTGATGAGTCCAGGTGTTTATAGGCACTTCTGCCAAAACAATCTCTGATGTTTTGCAGTTTTTCACCAAATGAATGAGGAAATGTGGAGCAGCTGAAAGGTTTCAGCTGAGTGGGACCATCTGATCTCATATTTAATGTTCTTGTTTCATCATCTTCCTCCGTTCTTGGTTTGCTCTTCTTACTCTAGTTATTTTAAATAATAAATCCTTGTCCACAACCACACATGTTCACCTAAATTTTCCTGTTATATCTTCACACTAGTAATGGGTCCATTAAGAGCGATGCGTGGGTGCTGCATGGAGCCCATAGAGCTGCATCGGTGCGTGTCGTTTCCAGAAAGTCATGTGTCCGATCCAGGAGATTTTTCTAACTAATGGACTCACTAAACTGGGTTTAAAAACATTTCTACCAACATGATGCATCTGCTAAAAATATATATTCCATCTCATATCATTTAAATGATCAAGAATGTTGGAGCCTAAAAGGAAAAGGAACGATTCAGTCAGTTTTTATTTTAATTTTCTGGTTGTCTCATCCTTTTCCTCTCAGTTATCACTCAACTTATGAGTTAAAGTTCATTTCAAACTGACTCTTAGTTTATTTACTATTTTTATTGTACTTGTTTTAAAATTATGATTTAAAATCCTAGTGCACAAGCATCCCCATTCATTTTCCCCTAAATTTTCACGTTATGATAAATTTTACATTATTTATTGGCTGCATCTAAAAATATATTTTTAATTTAAATACAGATATTATTGTGCTAGGTACTAGGTCATCAAATCAATTCAGTTTAAGTCTGCCCAATCAGCTGCCTGTAGTGTCTTTAAATGTCCAGCAGGTGTCAGTATTCTGCGAGACAGAATCAACGTAGGATCAATAGTTTGGCTTCTAGACGCCTCATTAACCATCACTACCTCACATCTATGGATTGCATCTAAAAATATCAAAGATATTTTAATTAAAACAAAGCAAAGAAATAATCCATTCTAGCAAAGTGGATTAAATCCTTCCAGGTCATCTAATCAGTCAGTTCAGTCAGAGGCTGCCTGTAGTGATGTTAAATGGCCAGAAGGTGTCAGTATTCAGTGGAATGACGCCTCATGAACCATCACTAATATATACTGTATATTATTGTACTATGGGTTGATTACTTCTGAACAGATTTCTCCATATTCTGTAATACTGTAAATTCCCTCATATAATTTTAGTTTTTTTTCTACATGGATATTTTTCTGCTTATCAATGATGATGATGTTCATCTCATCTCTAATCAATATAATCAAATGATTGTTTAAGAGGTCTTTCCATATTCCTGTTGACCGCTGGTGGTGGATCAGCCAATCATCCGATTCCTCCTCAGCAGCGTGAAGACTGACCTCACTTCTAAAAATGATTTCAAAGTGTTTGCTGCTAAATATTATTCTGCAATAATGCAAACCATAAAGGTGGGGAGAAAAACAGGATCTAACATTTTAGGTCAGATGCATTAACACCACCAGATTGAAGTGGAACCAGCAGCAGGTGGCCGGCTGCTGCCGCCATCTTTAGTCAGAGCATTCGACCGCCTGATGTTTTCCTCTAACATTCGAGTCTTTATATTTAACAGCTGGATTTTCCTGCATCTGGATCAAAGTTTGAACTAAGATGCATTTCAGCACCTCTCTTTGCCGAGGAGTTGGTGGCAGAAATAGATTCCTGTTAACCGTTCCCTTGCCATAGAAATCAACCTTTCATCCTTTATTTGTTCTGACAACCTTTACCAGACTGGACCCAAAGTTCAGGGAAAGTTAAGACCTTTAGGGGCAGAGCTTGCTGTTCAGAAAGAGAAAAGAGATGCATTAATATCAACAGCAAACAACCAGACTCACTAGATATTTGGTATTTTACAAAGAAGATGAGATTTATTTGTCCAACATTTCTCAGAGCATTTTCACCAAAAGAAAAAAGATTTATAATGAAATTAAACTTAGCTGTTATGTCAGTTTCATTTTTTTAAGTACAATATAACAGAATGAAGGGAGGTGCTCAGAGAGCTGAAGCTCTGCAGATACCATCCAGAGCTACACAAGTAGAATGAGGTGATGGTTGGATTACAGATACCATTTGTTACCGATACTACCTTTAAAAAAATACAGGGCCACGTTGCAGCTGCGTGTCCAGCTTCTTCATCTCCCATCGCCAGAACTTCAGCATAAAGAAAAAAGGTGGCGCTAAATCAATGAGTTCTTCTGTAACCAGGTGCGGGTTCACAAAGAGATCCTTCTAGAAAAGCCAAACTGGCAGCAGAAGTTTTCAGCTGCTTTCCAAAGGTCGCTCTTTGTGGACCCCTACCATCATTTTAATAAACACCACAAAAAAAACAAATAACTAAACAATCTGATTCTGTTCTATTAAGCAAAACTGATCAAAGATCCATAAAACAGGAAGTTTTAACTGCTATAGAAAAGTAGAGCTGCTGCTGCTGAGGCCTGTGAGAGTCTGGTCCTTACCATGGCGCCAAGCAGGAGAAGGTGATCAGAAAGCCACTCATCCCCCATGGTGGAGCAACCACAACCTAGAAGAAACTGTCAACAAGGTTTAGCAGTAAGGTGCCATCATCATATCATCAGACATGCACATTCTGCAGCTGTGAGGCGGCTCTAATCTTCCTCCATTAGGTTCTGCACAGTCTCAATATGAGAAAACAAGTACTTGACCCTACATTTGGAGCGAGGCGCTTGCGCTCGCTGCACACTTAGTGCAGAACTCCACTGACACGTGGTTCTTGTCCACATGCAGGCACACGCCAGCAGACGCCTCCTTCTCCTCCACTTTCACCCGTTTCCTGGGCAACGCATAATCATGGTCGTTAGAGAGAGGCCCCTGGAAAAGCGAGGAAGATAATTTCATCCCATTCACACCGCTCAGTCTGGACAAGAGTTGGGCTAACATGCTCTCATTGGCCAGCACAGCCCTCAGATACCTGCTTTCATCTTCCAACTCTTCCACTCGCTTAGTTAGCTCACAGTTCTCCTGTTTGAGCGCCGTGTTCTCCGTCGAAAGGAGGCCGACTTGCTTCTCCAGGCTGCTGACATATTCCTTCTTTTTCAGGCGATTCATCCTGGCAGCGATGGCGTTCTTGTTGATGACGTGGCTGGCCTGGTTCTGTCGGTGTTTCATCCTGGAACCGGATGACCTTCTCTCTGGAGACGTGCAGGACGAGCTGTCGAACCCAGAGTTGGTGACATCATATGCTTCTAGATCCGTAAGGTCAATGCCAAACAGGGGGGAGGAAGCGTCCTTTTCTAGAGACCATCTCAGATCTTCAAACAGGTCTTCCAGCTGGATCCCTGCAGGATCCGGATGATCAGCAGCAGCTGCTTCGGATGGGCAGAGCACATCTGGCCCCATTTCCACCTCTTCCATCACTTCCACCTCAGACGGCGTCTCCGTGGCACGGCTCCTTCTCCTGGTGATCATTGTGAGCTGAGGAATAGATCGCAGACCTTTTCACCAGAGAGGATCTTATCAATCCAAGTCTGTGGAAACATCATAGAATAAATGATTAATCTTAAAGGGTAAACCTTACAGCTAAAAATATGATTGAAACATATTCTTCCTCTTGGTGACATAATCATGGCCACTGAAATGTTTGATTCATAGTCTGATTTCTGCTTTAATCCCTAAAATGATCTGTAGCAGGTTAAACATCCCTTTGTGTTCATTTAATCCTAATCTTAGTCTCACTTGTAAGCTTTAATGTAATCTGTAATTTTTGATAAATAGGATTTAACTAGTCAACTAGCGGCTGAACCTGCTTAACTTCCTCCAGTCAACGACACTTCCTGTCTGACCGATCACGTGACCTGAAAGACGTTTAACCAACGTTGCTAACTGCTGTTAGCTTCCTCTGATCCAGAAAAGGCTAATCCAGCGTTTATTAGAAGAAGGCGGAATAAAAACTCGATTATAAATATTAAAAAAAAATCAACATTAGATAAATTCTCCCTCCATTATTAACTTCCGGTTCCATATTAGCATCAGAAGGCCTTAGCTTCCTTTAGCACCGAGCCCGTTTTTAAACCTTTAAATCGGTTATATTCCAGCCAATACGGGCAGCAAATGATAGCAGTGGTGCAAACGATCAACAGTCTGCAAATTACTGCCTGTTTTCATAAATAGACTTGTCTCGGAGTGGCTAATGCTAACTTTAGCTTCAGGCCGGAAAAAAAGCTAAAAAAAAAACAAGGACTTAATGACGCAGCAGTTTCCTCTACAAACACGTAGCGCCCTTTGCTATCAAACTCTATCGATAGAAAGCAGCGGAGGAACCAAAAGCTATAAAATATAAATGAATATTTTTAATTACATCAAACCGATAAAGGAGAGAAGGAGGCTGTGAGTTCCTGAGCGAAGATCAGCGGTAGCTTTCCTTTCTTCTTCTTTTCTATCATGGCGGATCGCAAGCAACTTTAAGGTGCATACCGCCACCTACTGTTCATGAGTGTGTAACAACATTGTTTTACATCTATTAAATACTATTTTTTAATTTTGTATTCTGAAGATAAATAAATAATGCTTTCCTTAATCTATAAATATACTTAATATTTCCTTTATTTCCCAATAATCCTTTAAGACTCCATTCTTGGCCTGTCCTTTCAACTCTTCTCAATTTCTCCCTTTCAGGTTCATGTTTTACAGTTCATCAATACGGGTTCTACATTTTCTATCTCTCCACATCCTTCACATTCATCATTATTTTTCCTCCCTATTAAATATAAATTGTCATTTAAATAAGTATGACCTACTCTTAATCTGATCATTATTATTTCTTCCCTTCGGTTTCTCTCATTAATATTTCTATTTAATACTGACTTTTGTACTTTATACAATCTTCTTCCTTTTTTAATCTTCATTCCACCATTTTTCAATTTCTTTCCTCTTAATAAATGATTTTCCTTCCCCTTTCCCTAAAGGAATTGTTTTTATTGCCTCCTCTAAAGCCCTTTTTGCTAATTTGTCTGCCTTTTCGTTTCCTTTTACCCCTTCATATGCTGGCAATGGTAGCTTTCCTTTCCTTCTTCTTCTTCTTCTTCTTCTTCTTGTAGAATTTATTGGCGGTTGGCAAACAACTATATGGTGGATTACCGCCACCAACCAGTCAGCAGTGTGGATCAGAACAAACATGCTCAAACTATATTCTTCTCGCTAAACCTGTTACTAATAAATAATGAAACATAATTCTATAACCTTAAGTCCTTTTCCTTAAAATATTTATTAGACAATACGGCTCTTTTTCCTTTTCAAGACTCCTTATCAGCTGTGTTCTTTGGTATTTCCTACAGTTATGCATAACATGTTCTATCGTTTCAAATTCCCACCATACATCACAACTTCCTGTTTCATGTTTTCCCATTACCTGTAATGTTGAATTAAGTCCTGTATGTCCAAACCGTAGTCTTGTTATTTTCCTTTCTTGTATTCTGTTCCTCCCGATTTTCCCTCGAACATCTCCAACCTTCCTTTGTCTTCTCTAAAGCCATCTTCCTTTTATATCTTCTTCCCACTGTTGTTTTTGCCATTTTTCTTGAATCGTTCTTTTACTAAAACTTTTAACCTCTGATTTACTGATATCAATTCTTATATCACTGTTGCTTTTGTTTATCGACTCTTTAACTTTCTTATAATTTCCTTTCCCTCCTATATGTGCAGGACACCAAAGAAAAACTACCGTTAGCCTCATCATTTGAATATGATACAGTGTTTGCTTTATTTCTAATAAAATATCTGGACGCTTTCTGAATGATTTCTTTTTAAACTGATCAGTGAAGAACTTGAATCTGAACATATAACAGCTCTTAGTGTTTTTACTCCCTCAATCCATTCTAGCAACTAATAATGAAATCATTTCTGCCGTATAAACAGATAATCCTTCGTTTAATTTCCTCCCTATATGCAGTTTAAACTCTGGAATTATTACACCTACTTCAGTTTGTCCTAATTGGCTCTTTGATGCATCCGTATAAACTTTTACATAATTATAAAACAGTTCTATATATTCCTCCATTATTATAGAATTACATATATATATTTTGTTTCAATTTTTCCTTTCCAGTATTGATAAATCTACTATTATTTCAGGTAAAATCCAGGGTGGTGTTATTAATAAAGGCAGGGGCGGATTTAGGAAATTTCGGGCCCTAGGCAAAGACAGGCATGGGGCCCTCGGAATAGAGCAGCTGATGTCGTTCACATCAGTAAAAGTAAAATTAATAACATATATACAGAAAAGGACAGGCTGCTGGCACAAAATACTTAGACAGGAAACTATTAAGCTAAGCTACTTCACTACACCAGTTATAATAAGAAGTGCAAATTTATGACTGAACACCACAGAGCGACTGCGTTATTAATATACATGTAATCATGGATGTATTTTGCTGCTTTTTGTAGTTTTAGGGTAATATGAAGAGTTTTCATATTTTACAATAAAGCAAGATTCTAATGACAAAAATATCACCTGAGTGACAAAACAATCACCTATCTCTGCTCTATGGTTACCATAAACAGGGGCAGATTTAGGAAATTTGGGGCCCTAGGCAAAGACAGGCAGGGAACCCTCTGAATAGAGAAGACAACACATAAAACAGCCCCATTCTCCAGATAGAGAAATGTTAATAGAATAGACATCCATTATCTGTTCTAGGTTGTGTCCCTCTCTTCTTGTCCCTTTTCTTCTTGTTTTCCTCTCTATGTTTTGTACTCAGCTGACTTTTCATGCTGTCTCTAAAGGAATGAAAGATTTTTTCCAAGCACTAAGCTCACTTAGCTGATTGCTCCTTCCTGTGTTTCCAAAAAGGCCAAAGTAAATAACCCAGTCCTTCTTTTCACTGTAGACAAGCCATGATCTGCTTATCTGTTCTCCATTTTTCATTTGGATGAAATAATAGCTGCATGAATCATGACAGCAGACAAGATAGAGGAGAGCAGGAGGCGGGGTTACCAATCTACTCGCTCTGGAGAGCAGAGTTCGCTGCTTTTAGATGTTGTCTCCAAAGTCTCCAGTAGCAGAAAAAAGTCTCTAGATTTGGCGCTAGGAGCTTTTTAGAAATCAAAGTGCTAGAGGGGTCTGAAAAGTGGCTAAATATAGCGACTAAAGCGCTAAGTTGGCAACACTGCTCTTTGCATGGTTTGTTTTCAAATGGTTTGCTGCTGTCTGTTTGGACCTTTCTGAACATGTGCAGCAAATGGACTGATCCAATATGGTGGACACTGAAGGGGGGGGCTGAGACACACTTAATATTATAAGCGTTCTGATGACATTTTAGCCAAAGGATTTTTATCAAAAACATAATTAATGTGCACAAATAAGGAATAGTTGTATTAATCATACATGGAAACAGAGTTTTATGGGGCCCCCAGGAACTTGGGGCCCTAAGCAGCTGCCTAGTATTGCCTAATAGTAAATCCCCCCCTGGATAAAGGTACAGTTGGACTAATGTTTAAATGATTTAATCCTAATTCTGTTGCTTTCTGAATAATTGTCCGACCAAATGATTTATTATCAGCTTTTTCTTTCTCACTGCAGGAATGTAAAGTTACCTGTGAAGGACGGCTGGGATTGTGTCCTTGCAAATTAACCCAGTAATTTAATGACGGTTGTATTCTTCTCAGTTCTAGTGGCATTTCACCAACCTGCACCGGTAAAGCTGATGTTGAAGTTGTCCTAATTGCTCCAGTTATCAAACGCAGTGCTGTCTCCGATGCTGATCCATACACTATACTTCCATAATCAATCGTAGATCTAATTAGATTTATATAAATCAATCTTATAGCTTTCCTATCTGCTCCCCATTCATACCTAACTAAACATCTCATTATATTAAGTATCTTTTTACATTTTTCAATAACCTTATTTATGTGCACTTTCCAGAATAGTTTTTCATCAATCTATACTCCTAAGAATTTAAATTTCTTAACTCTCTCTAGATCTTGATTATATAACTTCAGTTGTACTTCTTGGTTTCTTTTCTGAGTAAAAAGCAATATTTATGTTTTATCTACTGAAAATTTTAAACTCCATTTGTAAGACCATTGCTCAATCTTATGAATTGGTTTTTGGACTTTCCCTACAATAAATGTAAT